ATCTCCAATCATACGATCTATCTGATTTGATTTGTAGCAGTTGAAGAAGCGCATAGCGAGGTCCTCACCTCCTTGCTGCAAAGGGACATCTCGAAGCCAAAGAAGTCCATTCATGTCCCAAACAGGCACAAGACCTTGAACCGCCAGTGGATCTTCTCTAGCGACCAGGGGACCGTCTGCAGTCCGCAAATGGGAGGTCCACAACAAAGCAGCAGGCTCCATGTATGCCATCCACAAGGCATCTGAGAGATACGGCGCTGGATCCCACTGACCCCGCCCTGAAAGCTTCAATCGGGAAGGATCAAGAGCACGGTATGGAATGAGCTCTGGGGCCCTCGAAAGATCACGAGGGGCAAACTCCGCTAGTCCTCCAGTGGTCCCAGCAAAAGCACGAAAATATGGATCTCCACCAACTCCTTCCCAGGTAACAACGTCCGAGAGGTCAGCTAGCAGAGCCATCAAAGTTGGTATTCTACGGCCGCATGCAGGAAGATCAAATGTCTCCTCGCAGCTACCGAAAGCCCTCAACAGCCTCTTCAAATTCCTGAACACCTCGATCTGGGCAGAAGAAGGACGCTTGCAAAGCGACTCCAATGGAACAAAGGTGAAGTCAGCATGCCAAAAATTGAGTGCCATGATGATCATATGGAATACACGGTCAAAAATGATCCTCCTCCTCATACGACCACCACACCTCAAGCGTCTGAAGAGCCCATGCTTTGGAATAGGCAGAGGGAAAAGAGCTTGTTCACCTGCACAAACATGCAAAGGTTGGCTTTGGAGAGAACTTCGAATGAATTCGGCAAAAGGAGTCCGTGAAGACAAAATCTTCGTTGGCAATGATGAAGCCCACGAAAGAAAAGAATACTTTTGTAGCTTGTCCCACATAGGCACCCCATCCTTAGGAAGGAGGTTCGATGTCTGCTGAGACAAGATAGGGCTCTTGTCATGGTTTTCAGCCTGGCAAGATGCTTCAAAGGGCATCTCGGAACATAGGCCGGAACATAACCTAACAGGAGAGCTCTGCTGTACCATAGTTGCTTTTCCTCTGGCTCGAGCCTTCAACTGGTGGTTTCCTCGGCTCCCTGTTTTGGCCTCTTCGGGAAGCGAGGCTTCTTCTTCCATGCATCCTTGTCCTCGGGCTTTTTGGTGGGCATCTGTTGGCTCCCTGGGCTCTTCGGGTGAAGTGACTCCTGCCGGCGGGAGCTGATGAGGTCCACCTCCTTGACATAGCCTAAGGCAACTGTCGCCCACTCCTGTGGGCAGAGCGGTGCAAAGGCCCGCAGTCTTGGGTTGGTCGATGCCGGTCTCGAAGCAAAGAGGCTCGGAGGTGGATCCTCCTGAAGAGAGAGCAGCCAGGCCACATCCCACTTCATGCCGTCTTGCGCCGCTTGCTCTATTGAAACCATCGCGAGTGCCAAGTGCTCGCGAGCCCCGACATAGTCCTCCGCCATCATTTGATCTGCCACAAAAGCCAGGAGCCACATGATCAGGCCTTGATCCCGATGCCCCACATACCCTCCTTGCCGTTCGAGATACTTTGTGAAGATACCTTTCTTCGGGAAAGAGTCCAGGGCGGTAGGAACTGCTTCTGTAGGCCTCAAACGTCTGAAAGCATTCTGACTTACCTTGAGGAAGAAGTCGCCCCTTCTGGCAGCCAGATCGTTCATGAGCTTCTCCCGCTTCAGAGTTCCTCTCATGGACAGGGAAGAGCTGGTAGAAGTAGCCAAATCTGGATAGCCATCCTGAGAAGCTAGATGTGCCACCAGGCTTGTAAGCGCAAGAGACTGCTGGGCCAGAATCTCTGTCACCTGAGGCTGAGGCCCTCCAGCTGCTTTGCTCGCGTTGTTGTAGTCGGGATCGGAGGGAAGGAGCACCGGCTCGTCTTCTGGCAAAGCTGCTGGCGCCGCCTCCTTCGAAGCTCTCTTCTCTGGAGACGGACGTAGGCGAGGAGGAGTTCCGATCGCCCTCAAAAACCTTGCTTGGGCCTCCGCATCTAGCTTGGTCGTCGGAGGAGCAAAGAGCTGCTGATGAGGCGGTAGTCGAGGTCCTCCCCCTGAGGCCGCACCGGCCATAGACAAATCCAAGCGGTCTTGCCTTTGAGCTAGCTCGGTCAACTGCCCTGTGATGTTGGGCAAGGCCTCGGAGATTGCCGCCAGCTGTTCGGCCAGAGCCGCAGTGGTCACCCTCTTGGGAGCAGCCGGAGCTTTGGGCTTCTTCTGCTTTGCCGGAAGCGATCGAGGATTTACCACCACTGCTTCCTCCTCCGCAGCCGAGTAGAACTTGACTCGCTCTCCCCCCTCTCCAACCCAATGATGGGCTGCCGCAAGAAGGGAGTTCGCCTCGGGGAGCACGTCGGGGTTGTCCCGGTAATACGGCAGTATGCCATCTCCCTCCGTCACAGGGTCGAAGTCCCTGATGAAGCCGACAATATTTGCATGGAAGTCCACCAGAAGGCACTCGATCTCGAAGTCCAGTGCAAGCTCTGTGCCATCCATCTCCTCCATGACTGCTGGAACCGATACCTTGCGAGACGGACCAATGAGGTCCTCCATCGCCGAAAAGCTGCCACCATCTAGGGCCTCGTCCGGGATGAAATCCATGGGAACTGCACATAACAAACCATCCTTTCTCTTCATAATTGGGAAAACAAAGGCCTCCGGATATCCAGTTTCGCCACCCCCAGTCGTGAAGTCCAACCTCATGACATAAGTAGCAACGATGCCCTGGTCGAGGCACTTGATATCTTCTATGGTCAGGGAAGTCATAGTCCCCCCTGCTCAGGGAAGAGAACTCCGGCTGCAAGACAGTAGACACGACCCTCGGCCTGCGAAGGGAAGGAGTGAGATAGTGATCCCTCTCCAAAGCGAGGCAGGATCTTGAAGTACTCGGCAGCTGAGTCAACTCTGACAGGACGAACCAAGCCAGGAGCACGAAGCACAATGTAGCAAGCAGCTTTCTGAGTGATCTTTGGTGTAGGTCGAGGCTTTGGAACCTTGCCGTCCAGGACTGCTTTCGCCCAGCAACCTGCGTCCCAAGCTCTCTGAGCACGAGCACGGACCTCCTCCTGAGTGCCTCCAAGGCGGCCACAAATGTCCAGACAATGGACAGGTAGGGCCGGAAGAGCTTGAGCAACAGAATTGTAATCTGATCCACCAAACTGCAATCCAGAAGATTCCCCACCTGAAGTAGTGGAGGTAGTAGTCCTGGCCCGGGCAGACTGAACAGCTTCGTCCTCCAAATCCTCGCGATCCCAATCCTGAACCTCCTCCTCGGTGAGAGTGGCAAAGGGGACAGCTGAGGCACGATTGGCAGCAGCCTCGAGAGTATCTGCGATGACTCGCAGTGAAGCAGCAACGGCCTTGACAGAATCAATCAATAGGGCGATTGCGCTCATAAAGGTACGCCGACAGGCGTAAGTTAGGGACTGGCTGAGTCCGCTGGTTGTGCACAGGAGGGGATGCCAAGTGAGGTGGCCGAAAGGGAGAGAGAAACCAAAATCCAGCAAGCACAGTGCACAAAGAGCCCACACAGAAGCCGCAAATGAAAAAGCAGGCAACGAAAAGCGGGCTAGAAGAACAGTGAGCCGGACAACTCAATCCCCACCAACCACTAGTGGATCCCCAGTGCAAGACCTTGAGGAGCTCAGTCAAAGCCGGGTACATGCGGAGCTTGAACACAAAAGTACATGGTCAAGATTGAAGGTCAATATACTTATATATATATATATATCAATTTCTGCATGTGCACACAAATCTGTTTCATGTGAGTTTGAAGTGAACCAGGCACTCGTTCACCACGAGACTGTTGTCTTCGCTGATGCCCCCCAAAGAACTATGCAAAGCACGATGCAACGCTCGACGGCATTTCCGGGTATATGGTCACTGACCTCCAAACAGTGTTCACATCCGGAATCACAGTGACATGTCACGATACGCGCTATGCTGTTTTCGATTCTTTCCAAAGCGTGCAATTTGTGGTGAGTTCTTTGAGGTTCGTGGAGAGTGCTTTTACGTGTTGCTTACGTCGTGCTGAAGGGCGACATGGCCCTATCCCAAAAAGGCCATGAGTCTGGCCTCCGGGTTCTTATCAAAACGGGTTTGCCACTTTTGTGCCAAGACTGACCCTCAGCCCGAAGTAAGCTCAGTGCATGTGTTGTGAGCTGGTCACTTGCACTTGGTGCGTTTCTTCTTGGCCGACAGTGCCGAGGATTGGTACAAGCTGGGGTCAGAAGGATGTCTCCATGATATTGTGTCATCCCGGGAGCCTGCTCCATGGACGAGCAGGAAACGCGCTGTGCGCTATCTGTGCTGAGGAACGCGCCAGGTGCTGCACCTTACAGTATGCGCACGGACTTGGCCAACACGTGGGCCATTGGAGTTGGAAAGGAATTCATTGGGTGCATGTGTACACACGTTGCTAAATAACATGCCATGCTCATGACAATGAACTCATATATGGATCCTGCCGACATGGACTATTTCGATATCATGAAGTACACAGCTGATGTAGGGAATGCATGGTTTCGTGGCCTCTACCAACACGGTGTGTGGATCGCTGCACATGACGCAGCTACTCTGTTCATCCCCGGCCTGAGGGTATGGAGCTCTTGCCCGGCTAATCCGGGAGAGGCAGCAAAAGCTGTACAGGGTGAAGCCGAAGATGCACATGTGGTGTACCTTTGGCTAGTTTATTTTTGGGATCCATTTGTGTGGATGGCCTGGAAACACATCCGTCCTTACTATACGTGCGTGTATACCCGAGGTGGGAGATACAAGATCAAATCCATAACGGAGCCAAATACGTGATCAATCCACTTTGTGCTGTGTGTGGCTGAGACTTTTCTTGTCGGCAAGATGAGGACTACGTGGGCAAAAGTGGCAAGAATATCTCGCAAAACCCACAGCTTAACCACTTGCGTTCGCTCGTTCACACGAGTGCTCATGAAGTACAAGAGGACCCTCAGCGCGTGAAAAAAGACAGCCGCTGGGATTCCCGGCTGATGCTTGCTTGTCCAGGTCGTCCAGGTCCAAGGCGGTGTGAGTGGCGGTGCGCGCTGGAGGGTGGGACCATTAGTTCAAAAGCATTTGGGATCTAAAACGGGCAGATTTCTAGAACTCGAGCAGAGTAATCTAAAAATATCGTACCCAAACAAATCAAAAAAAAGTTACATCTGGTGGTCCTGGTGGGGAAAGGGCCAAATGTCTACACCAGCCTATTCATGCAAGGCTTGATGATACCACAGAAACGTTGTCGCTGAGCTTGATGAAGCCTGTCCAGGCTCTAGATGTCCCCAGAAACAGGAGTCGACTGATTTGCTGCGGGGCGTAAGGCTGTCCTCCACAGAGATTAAGCGATGCTGAGGCTTTGACACGGCAACAGGAATACAGTGGACTGAGGTGCAGAACAACTCGATGCTATGCTTAAATCATTTTGAACGCTAGCTTGAATCGTGTTCACTTCGAACTCGACAAACTGATGCGGTTCCAGGGGTGGTTCTCGCCTGTGATTGCTTGCCAGCTCCGGAGCTGAAAATGATTCGATCCAAAATGAGATGCATCTTACTGGGTCGATGGTTCGTTGGCGCTCTCTGTCATTGTTGTGACTTGTAGGAACAAATTGAGTCAGTGAGCAGGCAGTTGTATGGACATCACGACCTCAACCGGGAGATTGAAGTTCTTCTGGTTCTGAAATGCACAGATTCACACGGACCCTGTTATGAACAGCCCGGCGTTTGCTTCTGCAAATTGTTTGCAGCTGAGCTTGGTGCTGCGCACCAGCCCGGAGCGCACAAGCTTGCAGGAGTCGTTTCACTCATATGAATTGAGTGAGGACACTCAAATGATTACATTGTCTCAAAGGGAATGGCTCAAGAAAACACCTGCCTAGGTTCGCCAGGTACAGCGCCTACAGTGGCCTCTAAGCCTTTCCACCAAGGGACCTTTTGGGTTGCAACCATCAGGGCCATCTTGTAGGAGGAGGTCTTCTATTTTAGATCCAGTCACAAACCCAGCAATCATACGGCCTCCTGGAACCTCTTGCCCAGCATGCTAATTGTACAGCGGCAGGGTGAAGCTGGGGGCTGGGGTGTCTTCAATCCTCAGCGACGGCGGTTCTGAGGCAAACAACCAAGCTGTGATGCCCATATTGTCATGTTGAATCCTTTCTTCCAGCTTTGCGCCAAAGCGAGGCATGGCCGCATGCGCATGACTGTACTATTTTCAGTGTTGATAGTAATGGTCAAAATTCAACCTCGTGCCCAGAGAGAATTGGGATCTCTCCCGAATTGAATTCTAACTCAATGTTTGCAGAGATCCAGACCACTTGCTTCCACTCAGAGAGTATAGAACAACAGAGAAAGCCGAAAGGGTGGCGGAGACTTCAAAAATGCGCCCCAATCCACTTGAGCGTAGTAAGGTCTTCTCCTTTAGGAATCTCTCCGGGCTTCTGGCAAACCCTCACTTATTCATTCCGCTGACTTGGAAGACCTGCAAGATGTCACTGAATTTCTGGCTGTCCTGAATGTAAAGCTCTTGTTGGGCAAAGCTGCGTTCTGCCCCCAAACCAGCCCAGTCGGTGTGCTCAAATGGTCTGGTCAGCAGAATATGATATGACAATAATATGTGGTGTCTAACAGAAATGCACAATGCTTGGTGGGGTTATGGGGTGAGATTGCGGAGATGCGGATTTGTGGTCACGGAGTCATGGGGTCTAATGGTCATGTGATGATACCTTCCTCAGAAGGAGGCTGCCACACTGCCACCCTGCAACCTCAGAGTACGCCCTTTCATTTCTTGACAATCCAAAAAAAACACATCTTACAACTCTGATGCTTCTCTGTGGGTGGGCGGGCGGGCAACCAGAAATGGCACAAACTGATAGACCTACAGCACATGTACAGCACTAGGCTCTTGACCAGACCGGTTACGGCTTCCTCACCAATTCATTCCACTGAATGTCATGGAAGACCTGCAAGATGTCACTTGGACAATGACTTCAAATGGCAGTTGTCTGTGTTGCTTGAGCGTAGCACGGTCTCTTCCTTTGGGAACCTCTCAATACGTACTTGAGAGAGGAGGGGGGTGAACGAAAGGTAGCAGGCAATCACAAGTAACCCTGGTAGAAGTCCATGACGGCGTGAACCGGCGCAGGGGGCCCGACGAACAGAATCAACTCTTACAGGACCAAACTCAATGCACAAGCTTGAGCTACCTTTCGTGATTTGCTGCGCCGAAGAAATCTTGTTTTGGCTTCCTACTGCCACTGCTGCACACAGCTCGCGGTTTTCTCAAGAACTTGTTGCATGACGGACTACAAACATGAAGACTTCTGCCTGATGCTGATGACAACGTGTGTGCTGTGCCACTTGGGGTTTGGATTCAAGAACTGTTTTTGTTGCTGCTGGAACTCTAGGTTTGCAAACTGTCCAAACATGAATTGCAGGGGCAGGGGCATAGCTCCAAGCTTCATGTGTAGTGAGCTTAAGATCGAACGTGAGCGGTGCGGACGATACCCAAAACAGGGAGCTCAGGCTGAGCTTCGTGAGGTAGGTCAACCAATCATATACGGCAAAGGGCAATTGCCCGTCCATCCATGGTCATCTTGCACAGATGACTTTGTGGATGTTTGTCCGCCAAGGTTTCTTGAGGGCAAACGTCATGCCTTTTTTTGCCAGGGTCAAACGTTAAAACACGTTTGCACGAACGGATGGCTCATGGTAAAAACGCCCCCTTGTCAGCAGAAAGCTTCTCTTTGTCCGCCACAGTCAGAGTCCCCAATTCTCATTGACGGGACTTCGATAGCCTCATCGAAATGCAGCTGGGGACGTCCCCAACTTTGCGCAAAGCAACAACAAAAGGAATCATGAGAAATCAAGGCCAGCGCCTTTACCTCAAGCACTTGTGCCAAATTTGTAGAACTGTCTGGTGCTGGGCTGGGTTGACCTGAAGGATTGGTCACACATACTGCAAGATTTAAGGTTGCCCAAAATGAAGAAACTGTCCGAACAAGTCAAGGCCCGTTGAAGCTTGAGATTGGAAATTATCTGGAAAACGAGTTTGAGAGAATCTTGGAGACGCAACCAACGCAGTGGACGAAGAGATGCGTCGGCGGCACATGTAGGGTTACTATGGGGGAAACAACAAAATCGTGCCACTTGGGGCTTGGGTTCAAAAATTGTTTTTGTTGCTGCTGGAATTCTAGGTTTGCAAACTGTCCAAACATGAATTGCAGGGGCAGGGGTATAGATCAAAGCTTCATGTGAGCCGTGGTTTTTTAAAAGGTAAAGTGCTTATACACTGCTGGGTTGCCTACGCTGGAGGTTTCGCATGGTCAGAATTTGTGGGAAGGGTGGCTTCGCGAGGCTTCGCGCAACACCAGAGACTTCGCGAAATGCTTTCGCGGTTCCGACACGCCAGATTCAACCTTTCATAGGCTCTAAGTTTGCCTTCGCGAGTTGGCTTCGCCTGTGTGAAATCCAACAGCCTACGCCAAAGGCTTCGCGAGCCTTCGCTACACACAATGTATCACACAAATGCCTTCGCAAACACTTGTGGAGTTGCAGTCTAATCTAAATTTTATCATGCAATAAACATAAGCTACTCATGTGTAGCGAGCTTAAGATCGAGCGAGTTTTTTCTTGGCGAAGTGGTTCGACCTTCATGAGCGGTGCCGACGATGCCCCGGGCAGGGAGCTCTGGCTGAGTTTCGGGAGGCATGTGAAACCAATAAAGCGCATTAGATATGGGGTACAGGTCAACCAATCATATAGGGTTACTACGGAGGAAACTCTACAAGAATCCAAAAGAACTGTCTGGTTCTGGGTGGACCTGAAGGATTGGTCACACATACTGCAAGATTTAAGGTTGCCCCAGATGAAGACACTGTCCGAACAAGTCAAGGCCCGTTGAAGCTTCAGATTGGAAATTCTCTGGAAAACGAGTCGTTTTCTGTGGCTGACATGACGTTACACCAGCGCTGGTGATAACTCATCTGAGCATTGCTCAAAACCTATCGAGAATTAGTTCTAATGGGCTCTTCTCTCGCAAGTTCCTCTCGCAACACTTTCGCGGCTTGAGTTTTGGCTTTCGCGCGCTGCATTCTGTACAAAAACACTTTCGCAAGCTTTCGCGGACGGAACTGATTTCGCAAGCTTTTGCCAACTGTCCGGAGCTTTCAGCTTTCGCCAGTGAAAAGTTCGCACAGTCTTGCGCGGATCTTTCGCGACTGCATGTTTTGCTTTCGCGCAGGCATAGTACATGGGTGTGCGTCAAAACTCCGGGTCTCAGGTGAACATCGCGCACCTTCCTGTTCCATAGGGTATGGAACGGATCCCTTGTTCCATAAGGTATGGAACAGGTATGGGACGGGCGTATGGAACACATTGTACCAAAAAAACCTGACGTGTCATCTCAGTCCCGTTTCTCACCGTAAATGTATTTCAGCAAGCAAAGCGCACATTTTGATTGAACCTCGAACAATTGTAAACTAGGAATCGATAGGTATGGAACGATGGGTATGGAACGGCGAACAGACATGCTGTTCCACAGGTATGGAACGGGGTATGGAACGAGATGTTCAAGAGTACATGTTCCATACCAAAACGTTTTGACTCATGGCCACATTAACCTCTCTTCAAATTGTTACTTGGGAAGTTTTGGCCGCTGCTCATCTGGAACTCTGCTGTGCTGATGTACAACAGCTCCGTCCTTGGTGCTGCAGGTCCCTTTTCCCAGGCAAAAAAATATCTCACAACTCATGCTGCAACAATTGAACAATCAAGTCTTGTGAACCTGCTCCATTCAAATTCCCATGCTGAAGATGCTGCCTGGTATGCATAGGACTTAATCTGCCAATCTGGCACAGTGGAAAAGTGCGTCATCTCAAGCTGTAGCAGCAATTAAATTTGCAAACGCAAAAAGGGCTTCCCAGTATGCAGCAAATTGGACACCTTGCGCAGGAGCATTCTTTGCGGAACAGCTCTTGAGAAAGACCGTTTCTGTTTGCACCTCTGCTGCACTACTACAGTAGTTAGATGTGAACAGTAATTTGGATTCTCCATGGAGAGTATCCGTGCCAGCATGCTTGGGGGTTCACTCAAAGAACAAAGTCCGCCGAGCCCGGACATGGCAGCTGCTTGAAGAAGGAGGCCATATGAATGCGTTTCCTTCCACAATATCTTTCCCATCCAAGCGTTTCGGTCTGCAGGCTCAAGCTCCGGCCACTCACTGTCATAAGGTAAAAGCCTTGATGCCTCTGGCTGAAAACATCTGATGGCCCTGATGGCTGTTGCCAAGCAGTCTGTGGAGCCAGTCAGGTTGCCACTCGAGCAAGACCAGCTGTTGGCTCACAGAACGGAATCGACCGAAGCAAAAAGCAAACTTTGGTGAAAAGCAGCCAACTGGGCCAACTTCTCAATCCTTGGTTTTTCACAAACAAATGCGTCTACTTTTCAGAAACTAAGTTGGAAGTCGGTGGAAGAAGGAATGTGAAGGTTTTTGTATCCAATGAGGTGCACCTGCAACCCAAAGAATGATCCAAAGCTCTTATGTCAAACAGCGCTTCAGGGTTCAGTTGCATGTTTGACACCTGGAACACGCAATCAGGCAGGCTGTTCACCACGGGCTATGTGGATGCGTGGTTTTCGGACCAACGAGCCGGCATACTGGTACCTGCATTATCAGATGCGTGTTCGCATCATTGTGCAGCCTGTGACTCTTAAGAACCCTTGCAACAAGTCGCAAACGTGTCGCAAAAAGGCCTTGCTGACTCGTTCACTCGCGAATGAATAGTTCCTCTGCTACGTACAATTGCAAGATATTGCAAGGCCAGGAAGAGACCGGATAAAAAGCTCACAAGCTCTTGAGAGCCTGCCATCCCGCAAAGTTGTGTCGAAGGGCTCTTGACCGCAGGTCCTTGACCGCCTTGACATCCACACCCTTGCATGTTCAAGTTCAGCTGTGGCCGCTGTCACTCTGAAGCAACGGAGTTCCATACAAAAGGATCTTCCAGAATCCCTTGAAATCCACGGGCTGGGCATCTTGACCCATGGTCTTATGCTGAAACGAAACAGCGTCCACGGCACATACACATGTTCGCTTGTTCATTCGATCGCGCTCGCGGACAAACAGGCAGTCTCTTGTGAAGTTGGCTTCCTAAGACATCCACACCCCGTGTCAAGTTTGACGGCCGTCTAATTCCGCAATTGCTGTCTGCGGTCATATCTCCTACGTTCAAGTCACTTTGAGACAACGAAATCCCATGCAAAGGCTTTTGAAATTTGTGGAAAAGCATGGCACTGTGGGAAGTGGTGTCATCTCAAGCCCTAGCATATATGAGTCATGGGTTCACATCATTTTGCCAGTGACTCCTATAAGGACCCTTGCAAGTCTGAGATCTACCGCACGACAGTGACTTGTGACACCGCAAGCATGTTTGGACTTCCGTGAGCGGTGACTCATGGCGGGAGGCAAACAAGTCTCAATGGCTGGACTCTTCAGCCTCTTCAGCCTTTGACATCAACACTCAACGGAAGCTCAGGCTGAATTCATCGATTGGAGATGATTGGAGCAACTTCTCGGTTGGAGCTCCAGTGTTAGCTTAGGCTGTGGACACATGAAACCTCAGTCACTCTGAAACAGCAGTATTTCGTACAAAATCTGTCGGGAATCCTTGGACCCCTTGACCGATAAGGGAAGGCATTGCCATCGGTCAATTCCATGCACCGTGCCACACCGTGTCCTACGGAAGATGCGATCTGTCGAGTCAAAAGTTCAGCCGTGAGCGCCATTTGGTCCCACGACTGCAGCCAAGGACAGTCCAGCGTATTTCTTGCAGCTTGAGG